ACCTCATTGAAAAATATTTTTTTTACTGAAGAAATGCGAGGAAGACCAACAAGCAATAAAGAAGTTGGACTCGGAGAAAAATGACAACAAGGAAGCATTGAAGAATTTGAATGGTTAAGCATCATAGTTTAGTGGATCATGATAATAAATGAAGCTTTATTTTGTTCTTATTAAGGTGTTAAGTTATTTCCTTAATTTTTTTTTGTACTGAGTCATTCCTATGTTCTTATTTTTTGGCTAAGGTTTATTCATTTCATCACTTTGCTAAATTTTTTGCTTAGTATCCGCCAAGCATAATGTAAAATGCATGTTGAGAATTTTTGGCCATGTATCCAATAAAGTGATTATGTAGGGCTAATTTAGAAATTATGATACCCCTTAGGGTCCGATAATACCCCTTAGGTACAATTATGGATCTATCTGCTTGTATGTACTGTTAAGTTGATCCAAAGTGGTGGAGTTTGTTTATATTAAAGTTGAAATCAAATGTTTGGTTTTGATGATGACAACAATTGATATCCAACAATATCTAATGAAATCGTTATCTCTTAAAGATATATAAAGTGGTCAAAGATGCTTTCAGCACCAAGATGTATTATCAAGCTATCCTTTTGAAGATGTTTTTGTTAAGATGTCTAGAAGAATAATTTAAACATCAATTCATATCTATGAAGTCAACTCTGTCATCCAATGATGTTCAAGTGAAGACTTAGGATTCAAGATTCTCATGTGGTTTGCTTTCTTAACTCTGATTATGGTAATCAACTTAAATACATATCAAGTCTTATCAATATAGAAGATTTAAGGTTCTTGTATGATAATAATGTCAATACTTAAAGCTTCAGAGTTGTGAAATAGAGGAAGTGTAAAAGCTCGTTGGATTGTGTCTGCGAATAATCTATTAACACCATTTCTATAATCAATTATTTCAATTTGTAATGCCTATAATCGATTGGAGAGTCTCTTAATGGTTGGAAACAACTAGAAATCAAAACATTCCATTTTGAGGATTGATAATTGATGAACTCAATAGATTACATCACTTAAATAACCTATGGATTATTTTCAAATATATACCAAACTTTAGCCAATAAATAGAGAGCTCATCTACCATTTCAAAATGATATTTGATTGTAATTTCTAAATCTCTCTTATTTTTTAGAAATCTCTCATTTTCTCTTCTTTTTTTTTAATGTTGTCTTAGTTCTTTGAGAGTGCTATTGTGTTTAGTAAGGATCTTTGTTTTGAGTGAAGGGAATATTTCTAATTTACCTAAGAGTGTATTATCTCTTGAGTAAAATATATTTTCTAATAAGTTGGTTGGTTGTAATCTAAACCATTAAAAACACTTTATTAGATTGGGATTGTCTTAGGAAATCTCTGTTTGGTTGGCGAGTTTCTTCGATTGTAAAAGTTCTTATTTAATTCGTGAAGATCAGCCAGAAAAATCTACACAAATGTTCCCAAGTTCAGCATGTATAAAATATTTAGTCAATTATGATAACAACTTCTACAAAATCTTGTGCAATATTATCAAGCTAAACCTGTATAAAATCTCTTTCAAGTTCTAAGATCAATACGTATAAAATCTCAAGGAAATGGTCAGAGGTTAGCTAGTGTAAAATCCCCCATAAGGTCCGCAAGCTCAGCCTGATGTAAAAGCTCCATTTGTTTAGGTGGTTAGCTTGTGTAAAACTCCATCTCGATTCAAAGGATATCCAGTTAAAAACTCATTTGTTGGTTGAAAGTTAGCCATTAAAAAACTCCAATCATTGTAAAAGGAGGTTCGTTGGCACATCTTGTCAAAAGCTCTCAAGATAGTGGAAAATCTCAAGAAGAATTCTTGGGGAGAGAATTATGTCACCTTCATTTAGATCAAACCTCTATAATTTGCTGGTGTCTTTCTCTTTCCCTTATATATTTTTTATTTTTCAGTCTTTTTTATTTTTTCAGTTATTTTCTTTCCTCTATTTTTCATTTATTTCGTTATTCTGATGCTTATTTCTTTGTTTGTTTTATAAAAGATTTTAAACTCTGATTTTCTCAAAGATTTTGTTTTTAATCGAAGATAACCTTCCACAACTTATCCCCACTCCGGTTGTTGCACTCACTTGTCCAATAAGTGTAAACATAATCTAACTCCTATTTAAAGACTAATCATCTCAGGAGGATGAGTACTTTAAACATTTCTTCTAACATAAGGACTATCCTAAACACAGCTCAATCGTTCAATGGTGATATGTTAAATTTATGGAAAGCTAGATTTAAAATTTTCATTAAAGTATTAACCATGAATTATGGAAAACCATAAACAATGGTCCGTTTATCCCTACTCACCATGTCAATGGTGGAGTAGTAGATAAAACTGATTTCTTTTGGGCCTAAGAAGACATGAGAAAGTTCAAACTTGATTTTAAATCTAATTTTTTTTAATTATGTCTTTAAGAAAGAATCAGTTTTTTTATTTCTTTAACTATAATTTTGTCAATGAATTGCTAGACAATCTTGAGATAATCTATGAAGTTTCTCAAAGTCTCTAACAAGATAGAACAAACACTCACATTAATTAAGTTGAAACATCAAATGAATGTGAGAGTTATATTTAAAAATGGTGTTCAACCACTAGGAACTTTGGAAAAAGTGTGGGAACTTTCGTATTTAACAAGTATATAAGAGTTAACAATTGGAATCACAAACCTAATCGAATCCTTAAATCGAGAGAAACTAGTGTTGGTAATTTTTACGAAAAAATTACAAGAAAGAAGAAATCCTTGAAAAACTCAACGAATTGATAAAACTGTTGAAAGACAAATGAATTAATTTAAGAACTCTAGAAGAATTGAGATCAATGTAATCGAGAGATTGTCCCAGAGAAAAAGAAGTCAAATCAACTCCTATGGTTTCTTTTGGAAGAACAACTTCAGTAGATGAATGATCTTTCAAAAATATTCTTCTGATAGTGAATAAGCTACAACTAGTAGAATATTTGAAAGGAGAAATAATGAAAGAGCTTCATCAAGCAGAATCTTTGGAGCTTAATCATGATAAGAATATGAATTCTCTTACAAAAATCTCTTCAAAACATCCTAAAAAATACTTCTTAAGATTCATACAATGAATATCTAAAGGATCGACCAAAGGGGAATATCATGTTTGCTTGAAAGTCTCTAACTAAGAAGATGGTTTAGAGGTAGCAACTCTATCTTACAAGAAGTTATTTAAATTAAAGTCTAAGTTAATCAATTAACGGTAAAAAATTACATTATAATTTTGTAACCTATTAATTAATGGCCAAAATAATATTGTAATACTCTAATTGATGGTCGAAAATAAAATAGAGTAGTGATAATTATTATCATTGTTTTATAACCTCTAAATTAATGGCATTAAGTAAGTTAGAGTAAATGACAATTATCAAGAAATTAATTGTTTAGTAACCGCTACAAGTAAATCGATCTCACCCGTTGATATTGAGATATGATGGACGTCTCAGATTAAATGACACCATTTATAAATTGGTCCTCTCCTTGCCCATAAGACTCAATCACTTTTACACCATCTTATCGTGTGTGTCAGTAAGGGGAGATGGGAGATAAAACAATTTGTGTGTTTGCTACTATGGCCTCATCATCGAATCTAGATATGTGAAAATCATAAACTTTCAAGATCCTTATGTTGAATGTTTGAATGTTTCCACAGAATGGTTTTATCGATTAAGTATTACATGTGGTATCAGAGCTTTGTTGTGAATTTTATGATTTTCCACTTATGATATTTATCTCTGTTAAAATATGATATGATAAAGTATTCTTTTATGCATATTTGGTTTCTTTTGCTTGCTGTCATTGTATGTCGTAGCTTTGTAAATGTTTTCAACATATACTGAAACATGGGTAATTGAAAGAATACAAAACCATTATGACATAGCTGATTAGCTGCATGCGTTTAATTTTTATATATAAATTTTGATGTGATTGTTTTTTGTTACTTGTACGATAAGACTATTTCGTAAAACCAAAAAAAGGTTTTCAATCAATGTTACTGTATTACTCAATTGTTATTATATACATGTAAACTTAGACATGCTTTATTTTATTATCGTTGCTGCTCAGGTTCATGTATATATAAGCAGGATATAAGAAAGTATGTGTAACAATGTGATATAACAGTGGCATTGTTATACATGAATATTCACCTTTAATTTTATTTATTTAATTTTGATGATGCAATTATTATTGTTATATCTATGGATGAATGTGACTTCAAAAATGTTATTTTAAAACCTTGTGTACACCAAAGTGACTAAGTTAGGATAAATGAAATGCCATGAAATGTAACTGTTAATTAGTCATCAAATTAGATTTCCCCAAAGGAAAATTGTATTCCATGATTAATGAACATGAATGTGGAAATTTAAATTCCTGAATCAAATATATATTTTATCCAAAGATGAATTATGTGTTTTGTTGAGAATATTTTAATTTTTTATAAATAAATAAATAAGGGCATTTGTTTATGATAGCATGTTGTAGTAACTACCTAAATGAGAAATGTAATATGCTTTGATGCTTATCTAAGTATATGCTAAATTAATATGAGCATTTTTTATGATTTATTTTGTAGGAACTTCTCTTCATTCGCAAGCTGCGTCTGTTATCATTTTCAATGGTTTGAACTTTTTTGAATGGAGTGAACAAGTCAAATTCCACTTAGGTATTTTGGACCTTGACTTGTCACTTTTGGAAGAAAAACATGTTGTCACTGATGACAACACTGAGGATGAAAAGTTTAAACTTAAGGCATGTGAGCGGTCCAACAAATTGAGCCTTATGTTCATGTGAATGACTATTCCAAACAACATTAAGACTACTATTTAACAGACAGAAAGTGCTAAGGAATATATTAAGTTTGTGGAAGAACATTTTCGCTCTGATGATAAGTCACTCATTGGTACACTTATGGATAGACTCACGACCATGAAGTTTGATGGGTCGTGAAGCATGCAAGAGGACACCGTTAAGATGACAAACACTATACCAAGGCTTAAGTATTTGGGTATGGCAGTAGAAGACTCTTTTATGGTTCAGTTTATTGTGAACTCATTACCTTTCGAGTATGGTGCTTTCCAGATTAACTATAACACTATGAAAGATAAGTGGGGTGTTAATGAATTGATTAGAAAGCTAATTCAGGAGGAGAACCGAATAAAGAATTTTAAGATTCATTATGTCAACTTAGTTCATGGAGCAGGAAAAACATTGAAGCCAAAGGCCAAGAACTTTAAGAAAAAAGGAACCTACTAAGAAACATAATAAGAGTTATTTCTTGGTTCGAAATAAGGGCACTTCCAGAAAGATAGTCCTAAACGTAAGGCTTGGTTCGAAAATAAAGGTATGTATAAAATATATGTATGCACTTTTTTATCAAACTTAATTTATGTTCCTCATAATTCTTGGTGGTTTGACTCTGGTGCTACTACTCAAGTATCTAACATAATGTAGGGATTCCTTACTGTTGCACCCCAAAATATGCCCTCTCATTTCTCAAAAGATTATCCCGGACCCTAAGGTCTGCTTCGGGAAAATTTCAAGTCTCAAATTACAATTTTCTAAGAAAATCATTCACAAGGGCAAAATGGTCAAAAGCCCACTGAAAAGACAAACTTTGACTTTTGGATCAAAAATCAAGTTTCAACAATTATATTTCATCAAGACATGAAATTTGTTCATCAAAATCAGAAGTCAGAAATTACTTTGAAAAAATATCCAAATTTCTAAACATTTAGAAATTTTCCTGTGTTAAGAGAATATGGTACTTCATAACTTCTGGGCCAGCCCCCATGCAAGCGCAATCAAAATTTGCAAACACGGTTCAGAATATGATGCTTCAATCAGAACATGTAGAAGCGATGCTCTTTGGTCAGAACATGATTCTTCAACATATGAAGGCTATGTTCAACGCTTCGGTCAGAACATCACCCTTCGAGTCTCATTCTGGTCTTCTACGATCAGAACATCACCAAATCCCAAAACCTCGTTTAAACAACCTGCTACACTGCTACAACACAATATTATAACCAACAGCTAATCCAGTCCACGCCGGCATTTTCCCAAATCCCATATTTGCACCAAATACAAAAAGCTGTGATCAAAAAGCAATGGAATAGTGTGCCAAAAAAAGTTTAAATCCCATTTGTTTTTCCCCCCAAAACCACAACAAATTCACCTATAAATAAGTTGCTCCATCACACATTCAAGGGGCTAGTTTTTGGAGAGAGAGAGAGAGAGAGAGAGAGAGAGAGAGAGAGAGAGAGAGAATTATCTAAAGAGAGAAAAGGAAACAGTAAAAAACCTTCACAAATCCTAAACAAAACCTTTATTCTTTCATTTGAATCAAATAACTTAGCATTTTCTCTTTCGTTGTTCTTGCTAACTCCAGATCACCTGAAGGCACCCGTTCAAGTCCCAAACATACGTTCCAGGTTCAAGGTAAGTCTTTCTGACTTTGAATCTTTTCATTCAGAATATCATTAAATATGCAAGTACCATAGTATGGATGTTGTCCATATGATTGCATAAGTAGAAAAACTATGGATCAGAACTTCTTTAATAAAGCTAGGCTCAAAATTAGAATTAGAACTTCTATAAACTGCTGTGCTTTTATCCTTCTGATTTGCTGTTAAGGACTGAATAAATTGCTGATGTACTGATTAATATAAGGAAAGAGTTTAAATGTAACACATAACTTCTGAGTTCTCCTCACCGTTTTAACACTTAGAACTTCTAATTTTCACTCGCTGTTAACACACACTAAACTTCTGATGTTCACTCACTCTCTTAGCACATACTGAACTTCTGATTTCTCCTCACTGTTTTAATACACATAACTTCTAAGACTTTCTCAATGTTCTAACACTCAGAAGTTCAACACGTAGCAACCTAGAACTTATGTGTTTTTCCTCTAACGTTTCTTGCAGGATCTCAGAGTGTATCAATCCAGAACTTCTGATTTCCTCTGACGTTTCTTTCTGAACCACAGCGCGCCCTGCATCAGAACTTCTGATCCCCTTTGTTTTGCTTTCAGCAGCATGCTAATTATATCTCTCATTATTTCCATTTTAATCATTTTCAATATTAATACCCTTTTTATTAATATAAAAACGACATAAAAATATTTTCTTTTTATTAATTAACTTATTTCTTTTTCTTAATTCATTAAGACAAAAAACCATTTTCTAAACAAGTCCTTTTTCTTCCTTGTATTGTGTTGTACCCCAAAATTTACCCTCCCATATTCCTCAAGACATGTCAAGAATAATCTTCAAGTTGCTCAAGTTGGCTCAAGGGTTGGACAGTCAAATCACCTCCTAAGGCAGTCAAGTCAAAATTAGGGTGTTGTGTTGCATTAAGTTCCTCATATCCAAATGGCCTCAAGTTCTTACCAATGTCTTAATATATTATTAAGTTCATCCATGTCAAATTTCAAGCCTTGCAGAGGAAGTTTGGTCAGTCAATTGCTCAAGAGGCCCAAAAATCGACTATGCTAGGGCAAAAGTCAACTGTGTCCCAAACACAGTCAAACCTCAAGATTTTTTGTCAACATTCTCATTTTGAAGGATAATTCATCATTTTATCAAGGGTTGATCATGATTCATCAAGGATTGCTCAAGATTCATCAAGATTCAAAAGTTGCTAAATTAGGGTTTTGTAGGAAAAGTAAACTCAACTTTGACCAAGCATAACTTTCTCATACTTTATGAGAAATGACCCATCAAAAGCTCATTTTGAAGAGGATGCAATTTCCTATAATCCATATTCACACCCCAAGATCAAGAAATGCTCTCACAAGAAGTTATGAATTTGGACATTATAGGTCATTTTGAAAGTCAACAAAAACACCTTTTTTGCCAAAGCTTATAACTTGAGCATGGAACATCAAAATGAGATGAGATCAAAAGGGTTGATTAGAGGGCATCTCAAGGTTTCTAACGAGTCCAAGAACACCTCCAAAAGTTCAAAATTGAGGAAGTTATACATTGTTGAAAGTTGGGCATTTTTCCAAATTTGCCAAAAGTCAACTATCTTCAAAACTCCAATTTTTGACAAAAGGGCCCACTTTTTTCCACTTGATATGGTCTTGTCATTCCACACACTTGTCCCATATTTGATTTCATGGCCATTCATTTATTTTTCTATTTTCTTTGATTTTTATTGATTTAATTCATTTTTAATCAATATTAAATCAAATAAAATCTAAAAATTGATAAAATCATTTCTTTGTGATTGCTACAACTTTCAATTGGCATGATTCATCAAATCAATTCGTATCAAGACTTATTCATGCATAAAAAAATCAGATTTGAGCTATTTTTGGAAGTTTGATAATGGTGATCAAAATCAAATCATGAATCTTCAATGCACTTGGATTCAGGCCAAAAGATTAAACCTAATTCATCCTATAATACTTGTACAAGCCACACAAAGCAAAAACACGCACAAGGCACTGCTGAAACGGCCAGAGGAAGTTTGTGAAAAAGCTTGAAAACTTGGAGATCAAAAACAACATTGGAGCTCGATTCAAACAAAAAGCTTGACATAGTTATCTTCCCTGACATCCCCTGAAGCGATACCAATCAAAATCAAGCCTTCTCATTGCCTAAAACTCATTGTAAGTCGTCACAAACCAAGCTCTGAACATGAAATCTAAATCTCTAATTCTTGCATCCTTTCATTGAAATAATTACATATTCATACTCTGTGTTGCATTATGAAACTTTTGGCATCACTGAATTTTATTTTCATAGCCTGTAACGTCATGCCCAGTTCTAGGGTTCGTACATTTTGTTTTTGGGGCTTTTAGTTGCAGGGAAAATCGAGGCCAATGCTTGACATGGATGAAACCAGGAGGAAGAGACGAATGTATTGGTGGTCTTAGTTTTCGTTTCCATGGCCTAGGGCAAATTTTGGAGACATCCCACGAACCTTCCTGCGGATAAAAATCCGCAGGTAAATAACCAGAGTTATTTTGGAAAAGACGACCAGACGTCGCCCTCCCATTGGTTCATTTAAAAATACGCGCTTTTATTTTTTTTATTCAGGCATAGTTGATTATTGTCCATATAATATTTGTTGTATGAATTAATAACAAAGAAACAGGCCAGCTCAGTTGGTGGAAGCGCTATTGGAGAACCCATTGGGACCTGGGTTCCAATCCCAGGTCACCCAAAATGCTTATTATTCTTTTCTTGCAGCTATTCCAATGAATCTCCAAGCATAAAGACCACCATGCGCCTCAAGGATCAACGTGGCAGATGGCCTTCAGGTCAAATCTGGTGTTCATGAATGAGGGACCACCATGGTCTCAGGTCAATGCACGCATAGCCAACCACAAAGGTCAAACAAGGCTGGACGTTCTGGGCCTGGAAATTGCAATTCAAACACCCTCTTTGGGCCCAATACCCCATGAGTTTGTTCTTTTTTTCTTTTCATTATTTTCCTATTTTTGTTTTATTATTATTATTATCTTAATTAATAAATTAACCAATTAACTCTTTTTCATAAAAAATCAGAAACAACAAAAAATAATATTTTTATAAAATCCATTAATTTCATTATTTATTTTTGTAAATAAACATAAATTAATTTATTTAGTTTAAATAGGTTTAACAATAATATATTTTGCAATAAATTAAAATCAAATTAGAATATTAGGTTTTTAACATTTTTAACCATTCTTATTTTGTTGCCTTAATTAAAATAAAAACCCAAAAATATTTTCATTTAATTAATTAACTCAATTATTAACTTAGATTAATTTTTAATTCAAAAAATATATGCTTTATTTAATAAAAAGGGTCAAAACCCTAAGACACTCCGATTTAATTTTTTTGCGCGCGTATTATTTTTGATCCATATTTCAATATTGTAACTGCTTTGGGAATGTAATTGTTTAACTTAGGATTTTATTTATTTATTTATCGCTTTCATTTACTTTTCGCAATTTAATTTTAAAGGGTTTGTTTTTGGCGATGTAAATACCCGACGCTTTGTAATAGCTTAGATTCAATTTTCCGCAATTTAATTTCCGTATAATATTAACTGTTAGATGTTTGATAACTAGGCAATGCATGACAAGATCAATTTTAATTTAAAATCAACAATAGATCACCCATAACATGTACAAAGATAAATAACTGAAAAATAATACACTCGCACATGCGCACTCTTAGGGTACACCTCACTTGGTTGCCTCGAACGGGGTCATTGAGTATAGGAAGTTTTAGAGGTCGCCCTCTTGTCCAAAG